ACATGAAAAGTCTAACTGGAACGCTGTTACACACTGACAAAGTAGTGAATTAGCAAATATCACATTTTTTTTTCTGATTCAATTCAACAGCTATATTTTTGGAACTCATTAGTCTTAACATGGAACTGTTACTTGTGATGGAGAAAATAATCTTGTAAGAAGTTGGTTTTTTTTTTTTTAAAGAGAGCTATTATGAAACTATTTGAATAATGCCTTCGCGAAGTATCTCTCAGTATGAAATTTGTTCATTAAAAAAAAAAATTGTTTTGAAGTTGAAGACGTTAAACGTATAAAAATTCGGTATTATTTGGCTATGCTTTTACACAACATAGTTATTAATTTTGAAAGAAGCTTCGCTTGCTTGGAAACTACGGAAATTTTTGCATCTTTCTGAGCTATAACAGTTACAGTAGAGAATTAATTTTTTTTAGGTTTGCTCTTCAGCTTTTAAGTCCGGAGGAGTCCGTTAAGCAACAAAATTTAAATAAAAATGTTACCTGGAGTATGCAATTTGGCATGGAATGACTAGTTTCTATGTAAAATTTACAGATAATTACACCCATATATTTAGTAATGAAATGGGAGAACTTAATTTTCACCACCGTTTTTAAAATGACTTCTAGTGAAATCAAACGGGTATTTTAATTTCTGGTTTTTCAACGGTTTGCTTCTCCGGTAGTTTGCTAATATTCTTTGCAGATTTGCAGTATTTTTCTGAACAATATCATAACTTATATTTCTTTTTTTAAAAACGTTGCTTTATTATTATTATTATTATTATTATTATTATTATTATTAACGAGCAGGGAAGGGAAGCAGGTAAAAAAAAGCAAGATAAATGTTTTTTTATTTACTAAAAGGGAAAAAAGCAGGCCATTTTTGACCTTACTGAAAAGAACGAGATTTTTGTTGCTTGCATTGCTTTGGAATATTGCTTCTGCACGAAAGTACAAACGTAGCTTAAAGTTCGTAAAAACGCCCATGATATGCTTATATATGTAACTTTGCACTGATGAAAAGGTGTTGGTTAACGTTGCTGGAGGTTGAGAATGGAGAGCCCCTTTTGGTTCGTTTGCGGAAAGTGCTCTTACTTCTTCTTGATGCTCTAGAAGAAGCAATATGAAGTTGGGATGTCAACCCGCTGCTTTTTGCTCACTCGGGAAATTATCGCCCGTCGAAGCTGCCGAAAGTGCCCCCGTTTAAATTTGAAGTCAAGTCATTGAATTACAAGAATTATCAACTGCTTTCGAATTTCTAGTTTTCGGAAAGAGACCGGCGACGAAAATTCATATACTTTTTGTCATAACTTTTCGTGACGGCTATTTGGGAAGATCCAGATAGCTGCATTTGTATTCACGTGTTTTCTTGATTGTTATTCGTCTATCCGATACGCTTTTATTCTACCTCTGAAAAATCTCTGTTTTTTTTGCTTACCCTTTTTAAAGTTTTAGGTTTAGTATGTGCCGCTGCGACATGTTCTTTTTCAAAAAACGACGCTTTTGCTTTTGTTAGTGTAGTGGAGAGTTTTAATAGAGTAGATCCGGACTTTTTAGGTCTCTATTAAAACAAGTAGTAACCGCAGATTTTTTTCAAAACCCAGCAGGTGAATAGAGTGGGATAAGAAGTTTCCGTTAAGAAAAGTAGTTTAAAATGTGAAAAGATGGAGAGCATTTAAGGACGGGAACTGTAAACTGCAATAGGTTCAGGAACTGACGCTCGTACTGTATTAAAGGCTTCTACCGAACGGTGTCAGCCGTATAGCATCGTTTGCAAATGCGATCAGTTAAGAGAATGTCGTATATTTGAGGATTAATTTTGATGTCAGGATCTTACATTACTAGTATTATTGATGGCAAAAGTTGGCTAAGTATACGACGAAGCGAGTCAAAATATGGAATGAAAAGACGGAAGAAACGATGGAAATAAATTTTTCATTCTTGGAAATTTTTAAAACTTTTCAATTTCGTTTTAATTTACGTAAACATTGTAGAACAGCCAGGGCAGCAAAGAAAATAATGCATTATTGCGGTCAAGCGTGTCCAGCTCATAAACATGTTTTTTTAACTGTCTAGCTACCTTTGTCTTTTGTATATGAAATTTTTGATTCCTCTTAATTAATCTCGGGTATTTTTGTGACTGTCTAGATATTTCTTTCTGACTTTTCAACGGTTTAATGCTGAAGTTTGGTCTTAAATTTTGTGGAGTTTTGCAACATTGATTTGTCGCGTAGTTCTGCAAACGGTGATTGCGTCTGTAATTGCGGTTTTAAGAATTTAAAAGGTTTGGAAACAGTTCATGCAAACTTCCTATTTACGGTTCTTACGCTTCGTAACAGTCTTATAGTCCATCCAGAGAAGGGCTTTAGCTGTGTAGTTAGGATTTATGTGACTCATTTAATGAACCTACCAAAAAGTTTGTTTTGAAAGACTTTCCGAGATGCTCAGAAAAATGTACCAGAAAGATCTATAGGACGATTTTTCATCAGAAGTTTATTGTCCACTGTTCTTTTTTATGGTGCATTGAAATATGGTGGTTCCGTACTCTGCTACAATAGCAGAAGTGTAGGAAGCAAGGGCTTGGTCTCCAGGCGGCGCTGATGTACAATTACGAGGTGGAGTTGTTACTTGTTACACAATGGTCCTCCTAAAAGGCAGTGGTTGTGAAACGTCATGAGCCCGAAAAGGAAACTTTAGCACTAGGATGTTAGAAAGTTAGGAGGAAGTATACAGACAAGTCTGAAAATGTCAAAAACGAATTAAGCGAGATCAGGAACTATACCCACAAAAAACAGAGCGTAGATTGACGGTAAAGAAGTGCATGTTTGGAAGTGGATCTGCCTGATTGCAATGGTGGTAAAAAAGTACTATCTGGATATTTATAGAAAAGATTCTTTTTTTATCTTTTTATCCGCTGCACTTTTCTTACCCGCTCTTCTCCTTGGACCTGCTCATTTACAATTCCTCAACATTTTTGTTTGGGGTTTCGAATAGGGAATTACTACCAGTGAAAACAACTTCGGCTAACAGCCCTTTTACTTTCCCCTTTTTTTTTTCTTTTTTTGCATTGTACCATTTTTGTAACATATTCATGTGAACTAGTAGACCTCAGCAAGCTTCTGGTTGTAAAACAATTAGTACTTTAACGGTCTAAAGGGGTGCGCATAGCTAGGATTATAACGACTTTGGAATTTACTAAGGACAGCCCAATATGGTCGGGTTTAAACCGCTGTCCTAGCGAACTTTGAAGTGATGCTGGCTGTTTGCCACGACCTTTAAACGTAAAAATGCGCAAACAGCAATTTAAAGCAATTCGTTTCGGGTGCGAACGGCTTAGCATTTTCAAAACTGGCCGAAGACCGAGTTGAAAATGACCAAACTTTTCGGTCAAAAAGTCCCCTTTTTTTCTCCTTCTTATGTTTTTTTTTTGTGTGCTTCCGTTCCGTATTCAGTTGTTGTATCACTTAGCTGTTTTGCTGCTTTTGTCTTTAGCTGTCTTAATCAGTCAACATCCGCGTTGCATTGTTGAGTGATGTCACTTTCAGCCTAATGGTATGCAGTTCGGTTACTAGTAATCTAGTCCGAAAAGAGAACCCGAATCTGTTTGCTTTTATCGCGCAAACTGTGCAATTAAGCTTCTGAAAATAAACTGTACGCGAAAGCAACACTTATTTTCCTGGCGGGAAATAGAAACCGTTCAAATCTTTGAATTTCTACAAGTAGAAAATTCTTTTTTTTTCCTCTTTTTTGTAAAGTTTAATTTCAGTAGAAACAACGTTATTTTAACAACGTCCTAACCTCCATTCTATATTAAGCTTACCGAGATGTTGGTATGTTTAAAAAGAGTTGGTTGCTGAAATAATGGCTTTTTTTTAAAGTTCAAACTCAGACATTTTTTCTCTTTTGAAGGGTTTTGGATTTCTTATCTGGAATGGGACTTTTGCATATTTTTCATTCGCAATTCAGGTGGTTTTTTATGCTGGTTTGAAACTTGACGGAGGTTCATTTTTTCAAATTGTAGTTGTTGCGGTTGAGCGTACTCATGCCCAAAATTGGATGCATTATTTGGATATGTCAGATGGGTCAAATCAGAAATTATTTTTGGTGAGAGGAATCAACGACTGTGAAGACTTCTTTAAAAGTAAATTCTATGGTCATTTTGCGTTACGAGCAATGGGACTGTGATTGACTGTTGGCGCCATTCGTGGTACCAGTTGCAGGCGGGAAGAAAGCACCGTGAAACGTTATAATGATGAGAACAAACTTTCACATCGGACTTTTAGGAAGTTAGTAAGGGTTAGACAAGTTTGAAGTCATTGAAGGTGAAGTAGGTGAAGTCTGAAATCCTCATACAAGAAAAGAAGATTGGTTAGTTAAAAGAATTTTTTTGAAGGTAGGCGTGGTTGACTGCAGTGGTGCTAAAAACTTAATTAGTTTTAAGAAATTGCAAAATACAGTATAAGCAAGTGGTAGCGTACGGGAAGCATTAAATTAGTACTAAGAAGTAAATTTTAGCGTCTTATATTGGAGGAATATTTGAAGAAAAAAAATTTTTTTGGTTTGGTTGCTGGTAAAGTTTATCGGTGAATCAGTGCTCCAGAATGAAGTCGTTGCAGCGGAACATATGTATATGAGTTGCTTAAAGTTAGAATAAGCTTTAACTTTTGAGTTTTATTTGGCACCTCTCGTGTTTTTAAGCCTTGCTTATTCTTGTTATTTCACCTGTGTTGGACCAGCTTTTTATTTTTTACATCTGCTTATAATCCCTCTTTTTTTTTCAGCGCATGCACAGTGTGTTGTAGTCTTTAGATAGTTCAAAGGTAAACAAAATGATTTTTTGAGGGCAAGCATCTTCTCCACTTTTATTACGGTATTCTGGAGTGGGGAAACTAGTTATGAGTGCGAATTTTTGCTTTATAAAATGCGGCATTTTTCATTTCCAAAATACCTCTTTTGAGGAACATCTGGAAAGTGCATAGATTAATTTGACTTTTTAGGAAGAAGATGCATCGTGGAGGCCCGGGTACCCCTTCAATGGGTAACGGGGTTGCAGGTACTCCCATGAGATACGCGGCTACAATGGGCACACCACAACATAGTAGACGTGGTTTTCCAGCGCAGCCAGGTGGAGGTACACCGATGATGCCTCCGCAAACTTCAGCTCGCAGCCAGATGCAGGCACGTGCGAAGAAAAGGAGATTTGCTGATAAATTAATACCACCACAGGTTAGTGTCACTATGGGTACGTATTGAATCGGTTATCTGAATGGTTTTTAATGTTAGTGGCTGTTTTCCAATTCTTACTGCAGGTTCGTGAGCTTGTTCCTGAATCGCAGGCTTATATGGACCTTCTAGCATTTGAGCAGAAGTTAGATGCTACTATAACAAGGAAGAAGCTGGATATACAGGAGGCTTTAAAACGGCCCATGAAAGTTAAAAGACGTTTAAGGATTTATATTTCGCATACTTTTTTTGCTGGGAAAGAGCCTGAGGTTATTTGTCTCTGTTTGCCGCGTCTGCTTTTATGGCATTTCTTTTCTGGAGTTTTGTTTGCTTAAAACTTTATTCATTTTAGAGGGAAGGTGAGGAAGGAACGTTTCCTATGTGGGAATTAAGAGTGGAAGGACGATTGCTGGATGATCCTCAACCGTGTAACGCTACTGGATCAGGTGGAACTACAACATCACGCCCAACCCCCAAAAGAAAGTTCAGCTCGTTCTTCAAAAGCCTTGTTATAGAGCTGGACAAGAACATATATGGTCCAGATAATCATTTGGTTGAGTGGCATCGAACTCAGCAAACGAATGAAACTGATGGATTTCAAGTTAGCTTTCAGATGTAATATGATGATCATATTGTATTCATGCGAAACAAATAAAGCATCGAAATGCTTGCGGTTCTTGTAGATTTATTTCATAATTTCATTCGCAAATTTCGCTTTTTTTTTAATTAAATTACATTTGAAAGTAGGAGTTTTTCTTCAACGCTAATTTTGGCCTTTGGCTCTTATCAGTGCTCTGAGGTTTCATAATAAATTGAACTTTACAGGTGAAACGGCCAGGAGATAGGAATGTTAAATGTACAATATTATTACTTCTGGACTACCAACCTATGAAGTTCAAGCTGCATCATCGTCTTGCAAAGCTGCTTGGAATTTCTACTGAAACTCGTCCG